GCTCAATGGAAATGTCCTCTTTAAAACCAGAACACAGTAAAAAGTACTGCTTTGATAGTGTGGATCACACTAAGAATGATTATGTTTTTTGCTTTGGATTAATAGGATTCAGCTTCTTCCTTTCTCAAATCCTTTAGAAGCAGCAATGATGTACAAGGTTTTCCAGAATCACTCCATCTCTCATTGATGTGGATCTGCTGTAAGTTTCTGTTTAACCTAACAGAGCAATAATAATGTCCCAGTGCAAAAACGGCTGTTTTGGAAATGTATATTTTTCTGCTTCATCACTGTGTCTATTTTTGATTAAATGGGTCAGTTAATTTGGAAAATTCACATGTTAAAAAATGAGGTGAAGAAATAAATAAGAAAAAAATGCAGTGTGAAATGAGGTCCTAATGAATGCTCTATAGGAGGTCTATTATACAATTTATATCAAGATGCTTTTCAGCCCAATCCTTTATTATTTCTTCATGAGGAATTTCAAGTGTATCAGCAGCAAAGAGGGAAGCAAATAAAAGAGCAACGACAGATATAAATTAAGCAATGATAGGAATAAGATTAACTGATTGTAGACTCTACAGTTTGGTGATTTTTTTTTCAACCTACAGTTAAAGCAAAACTCCACAAAAAAGAGAAAAAAAAGGTGGCAGGTTATATAAAGTGTTATTATAATCAAGCACAATTACAATAAAAAAACATTCAATCATGGATGGAACAAACAAAGATTTTTCTGTTATTTCATGGGGAAAAATTATGAAACTAGTGCAAATAAAAATGTTTAAGACAACAGAAGCAGGAAGGCTGTACAGACAAGTGATTGAAACACAGGAACTACAAACCAGAGAAGATAAGCAAAGAACACAATGGTTTTATGGTTCCTTAGTGTTAAAATAAGGTTTCTTATCTTTCAGCATCTTCCTTTTTGTTAAATATGTTCTTTTTTTCTTGCCATACTATATATTTTAGTTATGCCATCGCTTTCTTAGACATTCTTTCTGTATCACTAGAAAGGTATTGTTAGTTGCGTTTTCCCCAGTTATAATTCAGTTCTTTGTTTTGTTTCATGTCTTCATGACTGTCCCCTTTATTTTATGAAAGCATCAACCTTACTACAGTAGGGAAATTTATTCTGTGTTTTACCAATAGATTAGGGAACAGTGGGTTCTCACACTAAGCGCCCCCCCGTGCATTCTGTAGTTAAGGTTCTCGCTGAGGGATCTAGAAGGACCAACTGAATTTTGAACCAGAAGTCTTGCAGCCTCTTCATGACCCAAACACCCTTCTTTCTAATCAAAAGGCAGGCAGTCCTGAGTTACAAAGCAAAGAGCACATAGAGCTGTAATTAAACTGAATAAAAAACAAGAACTTGTGTGGTGCCAGTGAATCAGGAAGTAAACTTAAATAAAGAACCATTGGTTAATTTACAAAATAAAAGCAAAGGTAGACTAAGAAAGCAGAACTGAGCACATACACAGAGGCCCAAACTACACTGCTTGAGATAGTAAAGAATCACTTTGAGAACATATATGGTCTGCATAGGGAAAAACACTCAATATCAGGTCTTCCCCTGTACCATTCGATTTTTCTCCTATTTGCTCCTTTTTTGTGCACCACTTTTTAATTTCATCTTTCAACAAGCACATGAAAAACCCTCTCTGCTACCTAACTGAAAAGATCATATCAATGCATTTAAACTATATATATTTAACTTCATGTTAAAAACTGCAAACAATAAATTTAACAAATTGTACTGTTTAGGTTAAAATGCAAAGCTTGTAAAAAAAAAAAAAAAAAAAAAACTTGAAAAAAAAAGACTTGAGAACACAAAGTTAAAATACGTGACAAAAGGAAGAAGTTCAAGATAAAATAGAAATAGGAAGCTGGGTTATTTTTGGGTTCAATAAAAGTTAGAAAAAAACTTTGAAAATTGGTTCTTGTTTCTTAGTTTTCTAACATGGGTATTATTTGACTAAAAAGGAGCATGGATTAAAAAAAAAATATGTTTATTTTTGGATTAAATCATTGAACTTGGATAATGAGTTGTCAGTAGTTGTAAATTTGAAACCATAATTGTGTACATTACAGTTTAGAATGGAAGCTGCTGACTATGTGTCTTAATGATTGACACATTTTCTTATTATCCAACAGCAAGTGTTTCCCAGAAAACTTAATTTGATCAAATGTTAACTTTATTATCACCGCATTTTTACATTCATTGCATTCCACAACATGAAAAAGTCAGAAATGTAAGTTTTTTTGTTGCTTACTCTACTGATACTCAGCAGCTGAGTCTACCAGGAATTTTGATTTAGGAGCACATAACTTGTCACATCTGTGTATACATTTATTGTTTTAAATTAGATTTAAATTCATATTTGGTTTTCTCTTATTCAGATTGTTTCTTATCTATATATATATAACATAACAGATTATTTGCTGCTAAGAGATTAGTAAAACAATCTGAAGCCTTAATTTTTCCTTACCATGATGCTAAATAAGCTTATTTGTATAACAAGCTTTTTTACTTAAAAACGTAACTTTAGTGTGTAAAGAACACCCAAAGGGTTAAAAGCATTTCACAGAGCTCCCTGTATAGCAACATGGCAGAGAAGCACACACAGGCCAGTGATTGAGTAAGACAATGTAGAGAAAAATAGAATATCCGTCTCGACCAATATTGAGCGTGAGCAGGAAACTAACTTCAAATAACAGGAAAAGAAAAATGTTTATCATTATTCACCCTGCAAACACAAAGTACCTACAAAATGCCTTTGGTTGTAATATAGCAGCATTGAGGAGATAGATTTACGACAAGGGGGTGAGGTCATACAATAATTAAAGGCATACTGTCAAAAAAATAATTTATTCTGTTTTTTATATGCAAAATTCAGCATACTGCTGTGTTTGGTGCCTCTGAAGTTCATCCTAATTACTCTAATTACTCACTTCAAGCATGAGCACACATAGTGGTGTGTAACCCTGAAATGCTGAAATCAGGCTCTGAACCTTTGAAAATGTATCATCTACTACACAAGGTATATTTCCAAAATAAATAATTTTACATATTTTCTGAGGATGTGGGAAATCAAGTGGAATGTGCTGGTAGAGGAGGACAGGTGCGTCCTCAAAGATTGGGGATGTGGCAGCCTGCAACATTAAAAAGGAAGGAGGTTCAACAGCAAAACCAAAACTCAGAGTCTTATAATACTACTGTTTTTTTGTTTGTTTTTTTTAACGCAAGGGCATACAATGCAGCTTTAACCATAATAAACAACGATTTAATAAAGAACAATTGTAGATATAAAATAAGTTTAATATCTGATCTTGCTCTTTTTACTTTAGTAAGTTGTGATAGATATAACAATGAGAAGGACAAACTGTAAGGTAGTAATGCAGAAAAAAAACCTTGAATTTAGGGACTTCTAACCTCGGCTCTGCTTTCTTATGATAGTGTATGAGATGTAGCGTTTGTAATATCCGTTTGCTGTTTAAACTGCAATTGAATACACCAACATTTTCAAACGATATCAATTTTGTGTGTTGCATGACATATAATTTTTTGCCCTATCTTACAAGTGTGTAATATCCTGAGCAGTGTTGTTTTTGACAGCCACCTTAAATTTGGTCTTATTCTTAGTCTTCAGGACAAAAACTATTATTAGTCTTAGTTGCATTTTAGTCATTACGACATGTGATAGTCGACTAAAGCTTAAAAAGGTTTTTAGTCTAGTTTTAGTCAGTTTTATGTTGCAAAAAAAAGGGAACCTTTAAATATTTCGAATAACAACCAGATTCTTTACCAGCCTGACAGCTCTAGCCTTGATACTACAATTGCTGAGTATAGAATGCTGCAGTTCATCATTGCTGTTGGGCAGAAAACTTTGATTTATAGGAATCCAGTTTGTGTGGGATGTTTTTGTGTTTGTCTCTCCCTACACCACCAGGTGGTGCCCTGTCCTCTTTGGTCCTTCTGCACACCTGCGGCTCGTTGGTTCATCGCTGAGGAGTATTTGAGCAGTGGACTGTCACTACCTCGATGCCAGAGTGTTTGCCAGTTTTGGGTACTCTAGCCAAGCTGAGTTAGCTGAGTCTAATCTGAGTTTAGTTTCTCTGAGACTAACGTTGTTTTTTGTCTTTGCCTTTCGGCAGAAATCCTTCCTGCATACTGGATGTTAAGCCTTCTCCCCCTGGAAGGATTGTTTGTGTTCACACTGAGCAGGGGAAAAACCTCCACACTTCCCGTTCAAGTTCCCACGGAAATCCAACTGGAAGTCCGCTCCACTGCTCCTCAGGGTACAACCAAAATCAAACTGTCCGCCCTCCAATGAGTTCCCTCCTCTCTGGATAAACCCACACCAACTGGATTCAAGGACAAGCAAGAAACCCCCTCCAACAAGAGTCCTGTTTTGACAGCTTTCAAGATCTCAATCAGATTTCCTACGGACCCTGAACCAATCACAGTGATCTTCTCTCCAGACCTTCTAGTTCCGGTTCACCTGTGCTCTGAGCTCCAGATACAACTCCTGTGATCCTTATCAATAAACCTGTTAAACGTTTCCCCCGGTTCTCTGCATGTGGGTCAGATCTCTTAAAAACATCATGACAGATATGGTTTCTCTGTAATGTTATTTGCAGAAACAAATAAAATTGTATTGAGAAAAAAAAAAAAAAAAAAAAGCACAGCCAGTAGCTACTTTCCTTAGTGAGGAGTTTGCAACACTGGCCACCCCTGGTCCCCCATCTAGCTCCGCCCCTGAGGTACAGAACCTCGGCTGGAAACAAGATAAAACTTTTGATTAGTCCAAATAATTTTTTGACCATTGAGTTGCTTTTAGTGGCAAATTAATTGTGGTTAGTTCTGCAGCAGACAATCCATGTGGAAGAATTAAATCTCATTTTATTCAACGCTAAAATGGTCCTAGAACAATAGCAGCATAGCTTTTAAAATGCCTCCTCCTCCTTTTTCTCAGATTTCTGTGTAAATCTCCTCAGAGGGCTCCGAGGTTTCTCATTGGCCGCAGCGGGGAGAGAGGAGGAGGAGACGGGCGGACTGGCAGGAATTCCTCGGCTCTCTCCTCAAATTTCATCGAACCGCTGATCTGTGGATAAAACATCCCGACCAGAACCGCTTCTTCCTTCCTGAGCAGAACCGCTTCTTGTCTGAGCGAAACGGTAAGAAAAACAAAGGTTTTACACAAGTTTTTTTTTTTTTTTTTTTTCTCTGGTAAACATAAAGACGCGTTCTTTTTCCGTTTCTCTCCAACAAACCCAAATCTCACTTTTCCTTTTCTTTTTGCTTCCAGATGTGGGGAAGCGTCGCTGTAATCCTGCTGCTGGCCGCGGCTTCCTGTAAAGCAGAGGTAAGTTTCAGGATTTTAACTTTTTTTTAATGATTATTGCCTGAAAATAAACGACACACTTACATTTATGTAAATAACACCCCTGAAGTAAAAAAACACGCGCTTTGTTCACTGACCTGCACACATCTGGAAAAGGTCAGAATGAGTTGGGTGACAATGAGCTTTTGCCTATAGGTTTATTATTAGTTTGCTTTAAAACAGGGACAATAAAGCCAATAAAGCTGTGGTTAATCTTCATTCTAATGGCCTAACTGGATTACTAATGGAAATACCCTTCATTGGAGGCCTTCTGATAATTGTGCAACTGGACAAAAAAAGAAACATGTTTTGGCTGTGAGCCACTATGGTCCCTTGTCTTGAAAATAGTTGCTGAAAAGCTGCTATGAGACCAAACTAAGTGACTCAGGAGTGGCTGGCAGCAGAGACTGCAGTTGCTTAGAGGCCCCCGACCTCTTAGGGGCCCCATCACTGACATCTGGTTGGCCCTCTCATTGCAGATGTAAAGGTGCAAAAAAAATCCTCTTAAACCCACCTGATACTAGATTGACTGACCAGACCTTATTTATAACCCAACATATGGCAGATTTCAACAGGATGGTGAGCTGTTTAAACACGACACCAATAACAAAGCAGACGGTGGTACTTTTAAATACCATGTTAATAACTGACTATACTTCATTAGACGGTTGGTAAAAAAAAAAAAAAAAAAAAAAAATACACTCATATAATATGTTTCAAACCTCAATAAAAATTTAAAGAACAATTTAATTTGAGTATTTTATTTTTTACAATACGACTTGGAATTATGGGTAATCCAGAGCCATTGACTGGCATCTGTATAAAATGATGGACGGATGGGAGTTCTTGGTCTGTTTTTATCAATACTGCAGGATGTTTTGCTGTAACACCAGCTGCCAGCTGTTTAATGGCACACAGCTCTGTGTTGCACTGGTGTGTCACATAGAATTGATTTCATGTTAATGAGCTGTGAGAAAACTTACCTTCTGGGTACCACACTGTTGCCCTTAGCAGTGAAAACTTTAGGTAAACATGCAAAGGCAGCAATGTGTTGTTAGCGGGTCTGATGGGACCAGAGAATGAACAAGGTTTATTATTAGAGGCTCCCAGCACATTGATATTAAATAAGATACATTTAAATTTCAATGTATTTCTAGTATTCTGTATTCCAAACAAAAAATTACATATATCATGATTTATATCTTTGATTTTACACAGAAAACAATTAATAAGGCTTCTAAAATAATGTAATAAACTGATTATGAAAGTTAGAATAATTTTATCTAATATTTTTGTCTGTTTATTTTCATTCTAAAGAGATGGACACAAAGCCTGTTAATTTCACTGTAATTTCCATGCATACATGTTTGTTTTTTATTTTCTAAAGACTGTGTTAGGAATGAGTGATGGGAATTAGAATCTTTGTGACATTTTGATGTTGATTTTGTTATGATACAAGTGATGATAAAAAGTAATCATACTCTTATTAATATTTGTGGCTATAAATAAATGAATAGGTCAGAGACACCCAAAATGTAACTATGTGCAAATAGCGTATATTGGAGTGTAAAAGTCCTTCTAAGCAGTGAATCATATTTTGGAGTATTCTTAACAATGAAAGAACAGCTAAAGTAACAATCACAAACAATTAAACTACATATTTGGCTTCATTTTTATTGTCATTGGATTACATATTCTTAATATAATGTTTATTTTCACAACATGAATACGTTTGATGATACCAGCCCATCCCTAGCTTGCCCTCAGCTACTAAACAGCCATGCTGTTTGTAGTTTGGAAATTGGGGTTTTAAGAAGTGTGAACTTCATAAGAATTATAGTTTCCAACCAAAGATGTATTTCTGCAGCCAAATCTGTCCTTCTTGTATATTGCGTAAAATTGTAGTAGGTTATAATACCAGTGTGATTTCTTTTTTTTTTCTTTTTTTTTTTCTTTTAGCTATAGCTCTTGCCTTCTGAAGCCGATAGATTTTAAACTACAAGTTTTCCGAGTCTAAGCAGTAAAAAAAAACTTGGGCATCAGTAGCAGGAAGTGGAAATAAAATGAAACATTAGCAACACATCTTTAAGGTGTCTTAAATGAAAAAA